TTTATTACTAATATAGGTGAATAATAGTTTAGTTGCCTCTTAGAACTGGAAGAAGAGGTTATGGTTAATAATAAGCACTGGGAAGAGTGCAGAAGTAGAGAGAAAATAGAGAATATAACAGTCAGTGGTTTTCAGTAGCCTGAGTTTAAAAAGGAAATGACCAACCAACCAAAAAAACCCAAACTGGGGACATTGTCCCCCAAAAGGATGAGAGGGGAGAAAATGTATTACTTGGAGCCTGCTCCTGCCCTGCATGGCACATCTTAAAGATTCATACCACCCTCTCCTGTCCAGGTGAGGAATACTGATTTAAATGATTGGATAGTATTGCAATCATTGTAGAAGCAAACCAGTTTTGATTTCTGGAGTCATTCTCTTTATTCCATAACAACTCGGTACAGTACAAGCAACATCTGAATCCAGTGGGACGTTTTGCTGCTGTTCCTAGTAACATTCTCTATATTCCTTTTAAATGTCCTGATTCTGTGGGGGGGGACTTTTAATAATGGAATATAAGCAGTTTCTACAACATTAAAAAAATATGATAATGCATTTATCTCTTGATATACATTTGAGTTTTGGGGGCATTTGAGGATAACAAGGGACAGCAATTGATCTGGAGCAAAGTTGCACCATCTGGCTCAGGAATTTGCAGATTGTGTTATGCCTTCCCAGTCAGTTTTCTCTGTTACTACCAACACACTCAGTTTTAACTTTAAAATAGAAAATTACCAGTATAGCTGGAAAAAAAATGCTTAAAATCCATGGTGGCTTCATTATAGCTACACATTAGTAATACCCTAAAATTGCTAATTGCACACCTCTGCTTTTAACAGCCTTTTATGCATGTTTAGTATTTTTATGAATCATTAAAAGATTATTTTTTCTAATGTTTTATGGCAGAAATTACTCTTCTCACCTGACATGAATAGGAAGAAGCCTGCTCAGTCTCTTCCAACTCCTTTACTTTTGATTTCAGAATACATCATTTGTCTGCTGTGGGTAAAGCCAAAGCCTCAACTTCCTTTCAATTACTCTGTGAGAATAAAAAAAAAATAGGTGGGGTGTGATAGGTTGGGGAAAGAATATGTTAGTGCCATACTGTGTTCAGTATAGTCATTTGGATTATAAAATGATTGAGGTTTCTGAACTTCACTTTTAAGGCCATTTCTGATAAATATTAATACATTCCCCACAAATGTTAATCTGCCATGAGAGTAAGAGGATGTCTCCTGCCAAGTCTGCCTCTCCTTTCCTCAACAACTCAAGCTTCTTCCAGTCCCAAAGGATTTTTTTTCCTTCTACTTGTTCACTTGTTCCCCAGCTTTTAATTGTACCTTCCTAAGTGGCATACAATTAAAAACAAAAATCGTATCATAATGCAAAATGCATCATTACCTTTCAACACCAGACTTCCTCTGAGATAAGCCTTTCTGATCATCAACATGGAGAATACCGCAGCCTTTATCATCATAACCTATTTCCTGCTTTTTTTTTTTTTCCCACCCAAACATCTTAAAATCCTGGAAGAACAATGTTTTTCAAACAGAATCTGTATGATCACAATAATGGGCTGTGTTGGGTCGAGCTGGAGAGTGAATTCCGGAGTCAGGAATTCTACCCAAATACCTTACCTGATTAAATGAATGGGTACCTCATCTCATTTTTAAAGTTGCAATATCATGGGATGAAAGAAATAATCTGCAAATAAATGGGTGCATCTACACATGCAATTAATACAAAGCAATACACTCCAGCACTTATTATGCATTAGTTTATTGCTCCTGGGCATGTTGTCTGAACATGTGCCTGGCACCACAGCATGTTGAGCCAGGTTGGAGCATCCCCAGCTTGCAGAGGGCCCCAGGGCTCAGTCTACCAACCTGGGGTGCTCACTCCGCAGCTCAATGTGCTGCAGAGGGGCTGGCTGGGACATGAAGATAACCCAGTGTAGTGTTAGTCAGCAGTCTACATGTGTGTATTTACAAGCACTATTCTGCTGCAGAATTAATTAGTTTACTCCAGTCTAATAGGGGCTGTAGACCTGTAATCCTTACTACAGAGCTAATTAGTCTACTCTTCAGTAAGCGTCTTATGCAGATGCACCCAAATGAGATATGGAGTCAGATCCAAAAAGGGGTATAGGTACCTAAACAAGACTTAGGTGCACTACAAGCACCTAATTTGAACATTATAATCTGCAAAATAACTGCTCAGAATCCTCAGTTTAATACACACTGACTGGATCCGGCCCCTCTTAAAATGCAATTTAATAGCCTTATTTTTAAACTATAACAAGATGGGGAGGTACTACTGCCAAACTTTTAGAGAATAGTCTAATGGTTTAGAATGGTTGGAGTATCGTTGTAGTTGTGGTTGTCCAGGAAATGTATGAGAGGTGAGGATGTTTTTGTGATCTCTTTTATTGAACCAGCTTTATAGCTGGGACAAGCTTAATACCTGAAAGCTCGTCCAACGGCTCTTCCACTTACGTGGTTGTCATAATAAAAGAGATTTAAAAAATTCCTTGCCTCTCTAATAGTTTATGTACTCACACAGGAAGTGGGAGATGAGGATTACTATATTTACTCAAATCCAAGATGCTTCTGAATTTAAGAAGACTTCCTCAATAATTAGATACTATACATGGAAAATGTACAACTTTGTTACTATTTTCTATATACAGCCTCTAATTATTGGAAGGTCATCTTAAATTCATCCCCCACACTGATGCAAGCAGTAGCAGGGGGACAGGCAGCATGGGAGTCAAGTGGCCTGACCCCCTTGCCCCACCCCTTGCCCCTGCTGCCCCTAATCCCTCCTCCCGATATCACCCTGCCTCAGTACCTGCATGCCCCAGTGCATGCTCTGTCATGCCTGCAACCCCTTGTGGCTGCCCCCCCACTGCCCTGCAAGTATCTTTCCCCCTATCTGGGCCTCCCTGCTGCCTCCTCCCTATGCTGCCTCTGCCCCCCAGAATTTTTGCCCTTTGCCACCTCCACCACCTGCTACCCTGCTGCTGCCCCCTCCCCCCTGCCCCAGGCTCTGAACCTTCCCCTGCCTTCTTGCTGCTGCTTACTCCCTGGCTCTGCTTCCTCTAGCCTGAAGCACAGTGCACATAGTTGCTCTGGCCTCAGCCTGGCCATACAGCAGTGGTTGAGGCAGCAGCTCCAGCTTTGGTTGCTGCATGGCTGGCCTGGGGCCAGAGCAAATATGTGCTTTGTGCCCTAGACTGTAACAGGGCCAGAGACAGAAGATAAGCAGTGAGAAGGAGACAGAGACATAGAAGTGGTGGGGAGGTAGGCTGGGGGATGGGTATAGGCAGTGGGGGTCTCATGGGGGGGCAGCGGTGGGGAAGGAAGGGCAGAGGCAGCTGTGGGGAAGGTGGTGGAGGAGCAGAGACTGTAGCAGGGGGAGAGACATCAAAGGGGCGGGAAGGGCAGGTATCCAGCAGTTGCACATCCAACCCTGATACCGGGTCAGGACTAGAGTTGCAGCATTCAACTACCTCCCCACCATGCTTGTATTCAAGTTCAAGACAGAGAGCCTAAGATGTGTCTGTAGATGTGTGGGGAGGCTGCTCCTATGTGTTGTAATTGCAGCATGTTGGAGCAGACTCAATTAATCAAGTCTGCTGGAGCATGCTAAGTAGTGCAATCCAGCAGCCTCTGCATCTCGTGTATCAGTGCCCTCCACACTTCCAAATGGTGGGGGGGGGGCACTTTAACTAAAGCTTGTTCAAGATTAAGTTAAAGCGCCCTGCCATCATTTTGAAATGCAGGGGCACTGATGCATGAGATGCTGCAGGGGCTTTAATTAAGAGAGTTGCTCTAATTAAAGTGCTCCCATGTGTAAACGTATCCAAGGTGCCTAAGCTCAAGAAAGGGGAGGGAGTCCAGATGCACCATAGTGTTTAGCATTTCCTGTTGACGACCTCAAGTTGGCTGCCCATTCAGCATGCAGGTTTGGATATCACCTCTGAGGCACTTAACTCTCACCATTCATAGTATAGAGAGTTGGGTATCTAGCCTTGTCTCCGTGGAGCAGGTGTCTAAATGTTAGGTGTATTGTAGCACCTTATGTATAGGTGCTTAAATTTTTTGTTGGGTCTAGCCCCAATTACAGGGCCCCAAGCATCTCTCAGGAGCATTGGCTACACGTAGGGAGTGCACACGGGTGCATGTGGACATCTTGAGCATGGTGGTGCATCCCTTGTGGGTGGCACCTGCCTCTGAGAGATCCATGGCTGTGCATTTCTAAAGGCTGGTATTTTGGTTAGTCTAACTTATTTAAGTTTTTTGCTGCCATTTGCTAATTTTTTCCCCCATAAATGCTTCCTAATTATTCCTAGCTCTTCAAAATGTTGCCCTTTGTTGACATAGGCTGTTTTAGAGAGAAATGTTATTTGGAATATTCATAACAAGTCTGTCACTAATTATCACTTTACAAATGTGCTATCGAGTATATGCATGCAATTTTCTGAAAAGGCACATATGCTGTGAAATGGTGATTTGAATGCAGTCTCTCTAGTTGTGCACCACTGGGATTTGTTCATATATTGTAAAGAGAGAAATCAGAAACTGGATTAAGAAAAGCAGAAAAGTTTTGTAAGTTATCTCACTCAATTACTATTTCATGTGATATGGTTAGCTTGGCTGCAGATTCTAGTGACTTTGGTGGAGAAACAAAAATAGTCTTTTATTTTAATATTTAATGCCTTTCTGCAAGGGATGTAGTAAATGTTGTATCATTCATTCTGCCTTGCCCCCCCTCCCCAGCAATGCATTATGTTGGTAAAATTTGAAAAGTTTGGGTGGCATTTACAGCCCTGAGGTCTAAGTTTACTTGGCAAGGCAGAAAATCCCTGGGATAACATCCCTACACATTTTTATGACATCTGACCTATGACCATTTAAAAAAGTAATTAGAATTCAAACAAATAAACATATTGAGTTATACAGTCTCAAAATTATTTGGTATTCAAAGAGTAAGCACTTCAAACTTTGAGGAGGAGATACTGTAGTTTTATGCATAGCAAGGAAATATAATCTCTGCTTAAGTGTAAAATTCAATTCAACCTTAAGGCATAAGTGGTTGCTTTTTAACAGGATTACTACTACTCCTTTTACATGTTAATATACCCACTTAAACATCCTTTATTTATTTATTTATTTACACAGATAAGGTGGCTACCTGTCTTACTATAGAAAATATTTAGGTAATAGATATTCATCAACTAAATTCACTGGGGCTACTCTAATAAGTAAGTGCCATTGCATGTAATGGTTGCTGAATTGGACCTCAAGGAATAGTCTATTTGTGGAGTAGGAAGTTCTATGCCTGATGTAACAGTAATCACCAGGCATAAGCAGCAGACCATGACCAATGTATGAGACAAAGTTGTAGATTTTCAGTCACTTTACACATGCAAAGATGTAGACTTTCAGTCTACACATGCAGATGCTTCAGGGTAGGTTTACTCTAGAGTAATTTATTCTAGAGTAAACTCACTCCAGGCAGGTGTGTACACATGCAGGGATGTGGAAACAAATTTGCTGCTCATGGCAGCAGTCTTCTCCCACCCCCACCAGCTCTGCATTAGCCTCCTGCAGCAGCCAGGGAGAGCTTTAGGCTCCCCCTGGGTGCTATCCCAAGGGCTGGCAGGGAGCACAGAGCCAGGAGGCAGCTGTCTCCTGCTGGAGACTGGGAGATTGTTTCCTGCCCCCAGGAGCTGCCTGCTGCTGGGGCAGGCTCCGCCACTGGGAGCTCCTGGCCCTGGCTCCCCTATTGGAAGGAGGGGGCTTAGAAAGAGCTGCAGGGGAGAGGCAGGTCCCAGACCCCTGCCCTGATTCACCAGTGGGGCAGCTATCAGTGAGTTTCCAGCTGGGTGGAGAAACCCTGTCCAGCCAGAGGCCCACTGCTAGCTTCCCCAGTGGCAGATCGGGGCAGAGGGCTGGGACTTGCCTCTACCATGCAGCTCTTTCCAAGCAGTGCACTTCGATTGCCCAATCAAGGCACAAGGCTGGGACCTGCCCCTGACTGAGACAGTTCCCAGGCAGCCCCAGGCTGTGCGGGGAAGTCTGCATCTGCAGCCTGGAGCTGGCTGGGGACTGCCCAAAATGGGACAGTCTCCAGCCACTTCCAGGCTGTACATGCAGACTTCTCTGCAGAGCCCAGAGCTGGCTGGGAGCTGTCCTGGTCAGAGGCAGGTCCCAGTCCACTCCAGACTGGGTAGGGAACTCTCCCCATGCAGGGAGCTACCAGCCCCAGCTCCACAATTGCAGAGCAGGGGTTGGCAAATACTGGGACATGATTGTTCCCAGCTCCATGATTGCTTAGCAGAGGCTGGGAACAATCATCTCCCAGTCCCTGCTTTGCAATTGCAGAGTAGGGTCTGGGAGCATTTTGCTGCCGGGGCAGGGGGAAATTGTCTCCATCTGGGCTCTGGTGGTATAGCCCACCTGACAGTAGACAGCTCCTGGGGGTAGGGAACAATCTCTCATCCCCCGCTGCCTGGCTTACTGGGAGCAAATTTGCTCCCAGTCGGCCATTTACACATGCTGTGCTGCACAGTAATTACTCCTTGAGTAAATTTGCTACTTGTATTTACAGGTAGCAAATTTACTTGAGATTAGAACAAATTACTGTGCAGTAGGTGTCTGCATGTGTAGACATGTAGTTATTTGCTCTAATCTTGAGTAAAGTGTCTCATGTAGATGTGCCCTTTTAGAAAACAAATCTCACTTTTTTTTTTTTATTCTTTCATAAAATATTGCTGAATAAATCTTTAAGCTTGAGTTGCATCCTTTCATCTGTGCAAATAAATGTTCTGTTTTGCTTGCATTACTCTAAATTCAAGGCTTGAGAGAATTCAAAGGAGGGCTATGCATATGATTAGAGGTCTGGAGAGCAGGCCATATGAGGAGAGGCTGAAAGACATAGGACTGTTCAGCCTGGAGAAGAGAAGACTTAGAGGGGAATTGGTGGCACCCTATAAGTGTATATAAGGGGGTGTACATCAGGGCCTGGGGAAGCATCTGTTTACCCCAGGAGAAGACGAGGAATAATTGTCATAAATTGCTAGAGGATTGCTTTAGATTGAACATATGGAAAATCTTCTTTATGGTTCGAGTGTCCAGGGTCTGGAACGGACTCCCCCCAGAGGTGGTACAATCACCTACTCTGTAAATCTTCAAAAAAAATCTGGACGCTCACCTTGCTGGGGTCATCTGATGCCAGCAGTCTTTCCTGCCCAAGCTCAGGGGGTCTGGGCCTGATGATCTCGTGATGTCCCTTCCAACCCCTGACACCTATGAATCTAAATGCATCTTTGCTTTGATGTCATAGGCCATTGGACTGGGAACTGTAATCTGGGATGAACCTTGCTGAATGGTGTTGTATTGAATATCACTTTTCTATTACAAAGAATAAATAATGATTCAGAAATCAGATTATTCCAGGTAAGGCATTGAGATGCATAGATATAGAGATGCTGTCCAAATGGTGGGGGCTGCAAAACAGAGATGCTAATGGTGCAGAGAGCATACAGAGGCAAGTGCCAGATGACAGACCAGCCCACTCCCTACTCCTCTCAAGTTATTGGGAGCAGTTTCCTGGAGGACTTTAAAACCAAGAAGTATAGTTCTGAATTGGGCTCTGAAATAGATGGGGAGCAAATGGAGGTGGCTGGGGATGAAAGGATGATCTTTTTTTGCTGGTCGAGAGTGAATTTTGTATTGATGGATTCTACTTTCCGGGCACTCTTCAAAATGATCCTGATACCATTTTAATTGTAGGTTTCCAAGAAAGAACAGATAGATGGGACAAGCTGTGTTAAAAAGGACAGAAATTCTTACATGGTTAGCAACTTCCAGCTGCTTCCTTTCATTTGCTCTCTCAGCACATTACAACCACCAGAAGTTTTAAATCTAGAAAGGGAAGATATGAGTAACATTTAAGAGAGCTGTCTTACAGAAGGACCATCTGAACTACTATTGGTATAGTTATTTACACTTCTTGGAGGATTATAGGAAGCTGGCTATATTTAATAGTTTCAGAGATTGTCTCTAGATTTAATTTATTTGTTTCTTTGAATTGGGAACTCCATGATCTTTATGGACCCTTAACTCTAGATGACCTGGGCAGAAAGAGGATCCTTCATTCAATAGACTACCAA